CGTGTGTGCAGGTCAGGGGCCAGCCCTGGGTGCCGGTCCTTGCTGTCCACCTCCTTAGAGGTGCCTGTTTTTGTTGTGTGCTGCTGAGTCGCCCACACCGAGCTGGTACGCTTCTGGTGGTTCTCCAGTCTCCGTCTCTCGCCACTCCATAAGAGACCAGGGTTCCAGCTGCACACTGCTGAGTCTAGGATTGCATGGGTCCTGAGGATTTGAACTCAAGTCCTCAGGACCTGAGTTCACCCACTAAACTGTCTCTGGGGCCCCCAAGGCCCCCCCTTCACCTTGGTTTCCTCTGTCTTGGCTTCTGGAGTAGCTGTGATCACAGGCCAGCTCCACAGCCGGCAGGTCTTCTTTTCCTTTTAATATTTATTTTATTTTTTAATTTATGTTCGCTGCTGTTTTGCCCACACGTGTGTCTGTGTGAGGGGAGGGTGTTGAGTCCCCTGGAACTGGAGTTACTGACAGCTGTGAGCTGTCGTGCAGGTGTCAGGAATTGAACCTGGGTCCTCTGGGAGAGCAGCCAGTGCTCTTGACCGCTAACTGGCAGGTGTTCTTAACCTGACAGAAACTGTAACCACAGAGGCCAGTAAGTCCTGGGGCCTTTGGGTCAGCAATGCTAAGGGTGATTGTGCCTATTTCACAGGCCAGATGTGGATGCAGGAGAACCATTCCAGAGCTTCACGGTTATTAAACAAGGGAGCAAGGATTAAAGCCCATGCTACTTAGACCCTAAGCACGGGGATCAGAGGAAGCTCTGAGTGAATGTGTGCATTTGACATGACCACAGCTGTATCAAGGACCCCAACGCCTCACACCCAAGGGAATGGCAAAGCCTTCTGGGATGAGACTCAGGGAACTGGCAAGGTCCTCCGCTGGTCTGAGTGTGGGTGTTGACAGTGTGTGCAAAAACAAGCAACCTTAGCTCCCTCCTCAGAGATCTCCACAGCCTGGAACGGCTCCCTTACAGAGACTTCCACGGGAAATAGTAAACCACGATGTTCAGCCATGTATCGTGAGCCTGCCTCCTCCATTCCGACAAATGAAATAAATGCTTTGAGTATCTTGGCTGTTGCTAGTACATCTCCATCAGAGGGCGTGGCCCATCTGATCTGTAGGTGTCTGTGTGTCTGTCTTGTCTTGATTTCCTCATGCCTCCAGTCAAGTTCCCAGTACTAGGCTGTGCAGGACTTGACACCTATTCCTGTTAATTGTGACCCATCCAGGGGCTGCAGAGGCGGCTCAGGGGATAAGCATGCTCTTCAAGCATGTGGGCCTGAGTTCAAATCCACAGCACTTGCATAAACAGCTGGACATATCTGAGCATGCACGAGACCCCAGCACTGGGAGAGTGGAGACTGGTAGATCTTGAGAGTTTATGGGCCCAGCAGAAATGGAGAGGTTCAGTGAGAGACTCTGGCTCACCACAGGAAGGCAGAGAGGGATGGAGGAAGACATGGAACACACAACTCCAATGTGGTCTGGAAGTAGACAGTTCTAGATCTATTTATTTATTTATTTATTTATTTATTTATTTATTTTGGTTTTTCGAGACAGGGTTTCTCTGTGTAGTTTTGGTGCCTGTCCTGAATCTCACTCTGTAGACCAGGCTGGCCTCAAACTCAAAGAGATCCACCTGCCTCTGCTTCCTGAGTGCTGGGATTAAAGGTGTGTGCCACCACCGCCACCACCGCCTGGCTTGATAGTAGATTTATTTTGTTTTATATGTATGAGTGTTTTGTCCGCATGTATGTTACGTGCACCTTGTGCATGCAGTACCCATAGAGCCCAGAAGAGGGCATCAGATCCCCTGGAACTGGAGTCACAGATGTGAGTCACCATGTGAGTGTGAGGACAAGAGTCTCTTGAGGCTATGCTCTTAACTGATGAGCCATCTCTCCAGCCTTAAGTAGATGGTTCTACAACTGAAGTTTTTTTGTGATTCAAAAACACCATCAAATTGCTTGGTTCAGCCAGGCATAGTGGATCCACCTTCCATCCTGGCACTTGTGAGATGGAGGCAGAAGGATCATGAGTTCAAGGTTATTCTGAGCTGTTTCATAGCACTAAGGAAAATAAAACAAAAACACTGCTTGATTCCTTCTTTATTAATTTACGCATGTGCACATTTGCATGCACCACAGCATGAAATATGGAGGCCAGAGGACTGCTTTCATGAGTCAGTTTTCTTCTTCTATCATGTGGGGTCCTGGGGATGGAACCTAGGTAGACAGTTGTAATCAGAGTTTCTTCTGTCCTGTCCAGTCCCATAGCCACTTTTAAAATAATCACTCAGAGGCTTAATATTAATTACACACTGTTTGGCCTATTGCTCAGACTTATTACTAACTAGCTCTTACAACTTAAATTAATTCATTTCTATTAATCTATGTTCTCCCACATGTCTCGTGGCTTTACCTCTGTTCAAATACATCTTGCTCCTCTGGCAGCTGGCTGGTGTCTCCCTCAACTCTGCCCTTCTTTCTCCCTATATTCAGTTTGGCTTTCCCACCTAGCTATATTCTGCCCTGCCATAGGGCCAAAGCAGCTTTATTCATCAACCAATAAAAGCAACACCTATTTGCAGCATACAGAAGGACATCCTACATCGGACAGCCTTGGTGGCGAGCACCTTTACCCACTTAGCCCTCTTGACAGCCCATTTCTACCTTTCTAATCTGTCATTCCTACTCACATGGTGGTGTGCATCTGTAACATCTGCATTCAGGAGGATAAGTTGGAAGGCTTGCTTTGCTGCCGAGTGAGACCCTGTCCCACAAAGAAAGGAAGGAAGTAAAGAGAGAGGAAACAAAAGAGAAGGGAAAAAGAGGGAAGTGGAGGGGAGGTAACTCCTTTACCTTTAGAAACACAACCTGGAAGCAATGGTTATACCTGCATCTCATTGGCCAAAATCAAGTCACATGGCTGTGTGTAGCTGCAAGGGAGCCTGACAAGCACTTCTGCTATGATAGAAGAAGTCAGAGACTCAGATCAGTGTGGCTAAGGTGTTAGTAGTCTCTAGGGTTTACCTTGTACATGACCAAGGCACTCACTGTTTATCTAAGAGGGAAGAAGGAGGATGGTTGTGGAGAACTTGTGTGGTTACCTGTCATAGCAAAGTACTTGGCAAAAGCAATTTAAGAAAGAGTTTATTTTGGCTCTCAGGCTTTGCAGGAGGGAATGCATGCTGGTGGGAGCATCAGATGACAGTCTGTGGGAGTCAGTTGTTCCTTCACTGAGTGGGTTCCAGGAATCTAATTCAGGTCATCAGGCTTGGCAGCAAGCACCATTACCTGCTGAGCCCTCTTGCAGGCCTTCAGGTCCCTTTCATACAATGGTGTAATGTTAGTTTAGAGCCCATGCAATTCCCCATAGTCTTTAAATATTCTTTAGATAATCTTCTCCTTAGACAAGACAGCTGTTGTGCACAGGTATTGCTGCATTTGCTTGTCTCTCTGTTGGAGACAGGATCTTACACCATGACAGGGTCCTACACTGTAGCCCAGGATGACTTGGAACTCCTGGCAGTCCTCCTGCCTCAGCCTCCAGATCTATGAGATTACAGGCATGTATCACCACATTGAACATTTCCTAAATGCATGTATATATTTTGGTTTTTTTTTTTTTTTTTTTTTTTTTTTGGTTTTTCGAGACAGGGTTTTTGAAACAGGGTCTCACTGTGTAGCCCTGGCATGTCTGGAATTCGCTCTGTAGACGAGGCTGGCCTCAAACTTGGAGATCTGCCTGCCTCTGCCCTCCTGAGTGCTGGGATTAAAGGCATGAGCCACCATGCCTGTCCTGGATATTTTTAATCCACAACTACAGAGCCCACAAATTTAGAATTTCCCTCTAAGAGGAAAGTGGGGGAGAACATATGCAAAAGGTTTAGTGGGTCCTCAGTGCTTCCCTCACCAAGCAAATGAAAGAACCAACAGAATAATGGATGGAATGAAGGAGCTATTGATGGCCCAAGGATAGCCTGGATCAGGGGGAGTCAATGAACTGGCTTAGAGGAAGAGCCTCTGCCTAGAACCCCCTAGTGAGGGGCTGGGGGCATGGTTGGGTTGGAGCCCACCTATAATCCTCCAGTGACGGGCTGGGGGCGTGGTCATGTGTGGAGCCCACCTATAATCCTCCAGTGAGGGGCTGTGGGCGTGGTCAGGGTGGAGCCCCACCTAGAATCCCCCAGTGACGGGCTGGGGGTGTGGTCAGGGTGGAGCCCCGCCTAGAATCCCCCAGTGACGGCCTGGGGGCGTGGTCAGGGTGGAGCTCTTTCCTAATAGTCCGTTAAAGGTTCAGGATTTCATTAGTAACAATGATGATTTTGTTTGTTTGTTTTTTGAGACAGAGTCTCACTGTGTAGCCCTGGCTACCTGGAATTCTCTATGTAGATGAATTTGGCTGGCTTTGAATTCACAGAGATCAACCTGTTTCTGCCTCCTGAGTGCTAGGATTAAAGACCAGTAATACTAATGAATAACATTTTTTTAAATGAGGTGAGGGCTGGCACACACCTTTAATCCCACTACTCGGGAGGCAGAGGCAGGTTGACCTCTTTGAGTCTGAGGCCAGCCTGGTCTAACATAGCAAGTTCCAGGACAGTCAGAGTCATACCATGAGACCCTGTCTCAAAAAACAAAACTAGCCGGGCGGTGGTGGCGCACGCCTTTAATCCCAGCACTCGGGAGGCAGAGCCAGGTGGATCTCTGTGAGTTCGAGGCCAGCCTGGTCTCCAAAGCGAGTTCCAGGAAAGGCGCAAAGCTACACAGAGAAACCCTGTCTCGAAAAAGAAAAAAAAAAAAAAAAAAAAAAAAAAAAAAAAAAAAAAAAAAACAAAACTAAAATCAGGAAGATGTTCTGGGATGTTGATATTTGAGTGATGGACAAATCCTGGTTCGTTCCTGGATAGCCCAGATGATGGAGCAGCTATGGGTGAGCCCTCGGTGGACGGGAGCTCCTGCCCTTTTCCCATCTAACCAGCTTGGTTCTCGCTTCTCCTGCAGTTCAGCAATGTGTTCTTCCTCATCTTTGGACCCCTCATGATGTTCCTCATGCATCCATATGCTCAGAAGCGTACCTGGGCCATCTACGGGGTCTCAGTCCTCTTCATGGTCATAGGTATGTGCTGGTGTGCGAAGCTGTGGAAGCATTGTGGAAACGGTGCCTCTTACAGCCTCTGCTTGCCTCCGCCTACCCACAGGTCTGTTCTCCATGTATTTCCACATGACACTCAGCTTCGTGGGGCAGCTGCTCGATGAGATCTCCATCCTGTGGTTGCTGGCCAGTGGCTACAGCGTGTGGATGCCCCGTTGCTACTTCCCCAAGTTCACCAAGGGGAGCAGGTAGAGCAGGGGCACCCTCTGTGGACCCCGTGTGACCTTCCCTTATCCCAGATCCTCAACTTGGGACCATTTGAGAGAACTTCAAGTCCCTTCCTACCCCCAGGCCACCCGAGAATTTTCTGAAGATCTTTTATGACTTACCTAGGCTTGCACATACCTGTCCCGTTACCACCTGGAAAGTCGGGGAGCTTTTCCTAATTCTAGGCCACCTGCGGGGAGGGGAATTCTAGGAACCCATGCAAGGAACCCTCACAATCCTTATGCAATACCTGTTCCCCATCTCCAAGCTTCCCTGAACCCCTCACCTGACCTTACCAGGCCTCTTGAATCCTGCCCCTGCCTCCCTCTTCATCCTCCCAGCCCACTTCAGGCTCCCTTTAGTTCTGGTCTGGTACCCCTGGGTTCTCTTGAACCCTGTCCTTCCTGAGCAGACCTGAAGAAACTCAGAGGCTCCTCCTGAGCCCAGCTGGACTCCCCAGAGTTCTTGGTTTGTCAAATGCTCCAGCACCCCTGAGACACCTGCCCATCCCATCCCTCCCTCAGGTACTACTTCAGCTGCTTTGTGATTCTGACCACTATAATCAGCACCTTCTTGACATTTGTGAAGCCCACGATCAATGCATACGCCCTCAACAGCATCGCCATACACATTGTCTACATTGTGCACCAAGAGTACAAGAAGTGAGTGCTAGGGGCTGGGGGCGTGGTCAGGGCGGAGCCCCACCTAGAATCCCCCAGTGAGGGGGCTGGGGGCACGGTCAGGGCGGAGCCCCGCCTAGAATCCCCCAGTGAGGGGGCTGGGGGCGCGGACAGGGTGGAGCCCCTCCTAGAATCCCCCAGTAAGGGGCTGGGGGCGTGGTCAGGGTGGAGCCCCGCCTAGAATCCCCCAGTAAGGGGCTGGGGGCGTGGTCAGGGTGGAGCCCCGCCTAGAATCCCCCAGTGAGGGTCTGGGGGCGTGGTCAGGGTGGAGTCCCGCCTAGAATCCCCCAGTGAGGGTCTGGGGGCGTGGTCAGGGTGGAGTCCCACCTGGAATCCCCCAGGGAGGGGCTGGGGGCGTGGTCAGGGCAGAGCCCCGCCTACAATCCCAGTGAGGGACTAGGTGCTCAAGTGTAAAGGCCCTACTTAACATGTAGTAGTGTATGGGTTCTACTCCCAGTACCATAAAAAGGCAATTGTTAATGCTTTTTAGAAAGCGAGTGGTGGCTGCAGCTGCCTAGAGGGCCTCCGTTCTCCCTTGGAGTCCCGCGCTCTTCTCCAGTGTTCTGTGCTCTGAGCGTTGTTCCCTGACTCCCGTCTCCTGCGGGGGGCGCCCATTCCCCATGTTGACCCGTTAACAGGAAGGGCTTCAAGGCGGTCTGTGTGCCAGCAAACAGTCTGCCTTAAAACATGCTATACATTCATTCACTCACTTTTATTTATGCGCATCACGGCGATGTGTGGGGGTCGGAGGTCAAGCAGTGACAGTCAGTTTTCTCCTTCCGCGGTGTGGGTCCTGTCCATCAAACTGGGGCTGTCAGGTTAGCGGCAAGCGCCTCGGCCTGTTGAGCCGTCTCAGCGGCCCAGAGCCTGTCTTATTTTAATTTTTAGTTTTGGGGTTTCATGGACCCACACTGCACCGGGACTGGCTGTGAAGCAGAGGACCTTGAACTCCTGTTCGTCCTCCCTCCTGGCCATACAGGTGTGCGCCACCACCTCCAGCTCACAGCTCGTCCTCCTTTCCCTTAAGATGTTTGTTCCCTTCCATATGTTTGTTGTTTAGTTCTCTGTTTTGACACGGGGTCTCCCTGTGTAGTCCTGGCTGCCCCGGAACTCTCTATGTAGACCAGGCTTGCCTTGAACTCACAGAGATCCTCTTGCCTCTGCCTGCCCCTGTACTAAAGCAGAGTTTAACTTTTTTGATAATTACAGTTCCCTTCCCCTTGCCCCAAGTGCTGGGGATTGAACCGAGGGCCTGTCACATACAAGCCAGGCCCCTCTACCGTTGAGCTAGAGCCATGATAACTATGTTTTCTGACTCATGCTGGCCCTCAGTGATCAGGGCAACTCAATAGAGCCAATGAGAAACATTGTTTAAAAAAGAGATTGTTTACAAAAAGAAAGGGCAGAGTGAAGAAAATTCCCGAGAGTGGGGCTGGATCCTTGTGGTGATAGGGGTGGGAGTCTCGGAGTGTTGGGGGACCTGAGGCAAGGGTACTGGGGTTGAGGCAAGAGGGAGCAATTGCAAAATTGGAAAGTAAGCAGGGAAGCACAGGATCCTGAGGTCAGAGGTTTCAGCCCAGCCTGGGCTACATGGTGAGTTCAAGGGCAGCCTGAGATACATTGCAAGGCCTGGTCTCGAAATGAAAATGTAACCTAAACCCAACTAAACTGGTAGTGAGTAATGCTCAGGGGCAGCACCTCCTTGGCAGAGACTCTGGCCTCCGGCTGCTGGGACAGTTGGCTTGAGAAGCTGTAAGGAGGTGGCTAAGGAGAGTGTCCTTCTACAGGGATGTTGTTGTTGGTTTTTTACTCTTTGCTCTTTTGGGGGGCCTACCATCCAGCTCCCAAATAAATCACACATGGAGGCTTATTCTTAATTATAAATGCCTGGCCTTAGCTTGGTTTGTTTCTTGCCAGCTTTTCTTAACTTTAAATTGTCCTGTCTACCTTTTGCCTCTGGGCTTTTTCCTTTTCTTACTTCTATATATCTTACCTTCACTCTTACTCCGTGGCTGGCTGTGTGGCTGTGTGGCTGTGTGGCTGTGTGTCTGTGTGTCTGTGTGGCTGGGTGGCTGGGTGGCTATGTGGCTGGGTGGCTATGTGGCTGGGTGGCTGGGTGGCTGGGTGGCTATGTGGCTGGGTGGCTGTGTGGCTGTGTGGCTGTGTGACTGTGTGGCTGTGTGGCTGTGTAGCTGGGTGGCTGGGTGGCTGTGTGGCTGTGTGGCTGTTTGGCTGTGTGGCTGTGTGGCTGTGTGGCTGTGTGGCTGTGTGGCGGTGTGGCTGTGTGGCTGTGTAGCTGTGTAGCTGGGTGGCTGGGTGGCTGGGTGGCGGTGTGGCTGTGTGGCTGTGTAGCTGGGTGGCTGGGTGGCTGGGTGGCTGGGTGGCTGGCCCCTAGCATCCTCCTCCTTTTCTCACTCCTTCTTTCCCTCCCAGATTTCTCCTTCTATTTATTCTCTCTGCCTGCCAGCCCTGCCTATTCTTTCTCCTGCCTTGCTATTGGCTGTTCAGCTCCTTATGAGACCACCAGCTGCTCTAGACAGGAAAGTAACACAGCTTCACAGAGTTAAACAAATGCAACATAAACAAATGCAACACATCTTAAAATAATACTCCATAGCACAAGGCCCTGATCCAATCCTTCCAGTTCCTGCTGGGATGTCACATTGGTCAAGCCAACTGGAAATCATTGGCCAATCCCGGCAGAAATCACTGACCCACCATACTGGAAACTATTGGTCAAGCCAACAGTGAACTACATATGTAAGCCAACAGTGAACCATAGATCAAGCTGACTGAAATCCACAGGTTAAGCCAATAGGTCAAACTGACTGTGTCCCATAGATCAAGCCAACTGCATAAAATAGGTTGAACTGACTGTGTACCATAGGTTGAGCTAACTAAAATCCATAGGTCAAGCCATCCAGAACTCCTAAGTGGAATTCCAAGCATAGATCACATACTATAAACTACAAGTCAATTAGAAGCCATTGGCCATGCCAAGAACCATAGAGCAGCACAAGGGAAAACCGTTGGTCAACTCAACTGGAAGCCATCACCCAAAGTGACGTAGATCTCATTGGTCAAGTCAACTGGAAGCCACTAGTCAAAGAATCCAGTGAATGGCTTTGTCATGAGGTGAGTAGGCAGATCCTGTGTGCCTATTGATAAAGGAAAGCTTTCTCATTCATCTCTAGAATATTCTTCTCCTGGGGAGTGGGATTTGACTCTGCTGACTGGGAACCTAAATTCTGGTCTTGAGTTGTCTCAAGACATGGTCACCAGAAAATGCACTGCGCTATGTCATACACACACACACACACACACACACACACACACACACACACACGCACACCTTAGAGAGTATCAGCTATTAGCACACAGTAGGCACCATTGTTAGCTTTCTGCTGCTATTGTAACATAGCTGAGACAGTATGACAAGTTAAGATTAGTCCCACATGACCCCACAGGACATAGACCTATATAGTCCCAGGTACCCGGGAAGCTGAACAAGAGGATTAGTTTAACCTAGGAGTTTGAAGCAAGCTTGGAACATACAGGCAGATATGGTGTGTGTGTGTGTGTGTGTGTGTGTGTGTGTGTGTGTGTGTGTGTGTGTGTGTGAGAGAGAGAGAGAGAGAGAGAGAGAGAGAGAGAGAGACAGACAGACAGACAGACAGACAGACAGACAGATACAGAAGGAGGCAGAGACAGAGAACACAAAGAGAGGCAGCAAGATGGAGAGAGTAGGAGACAGAGGGCTTCACTATGTAGCTCAGGTTTGCCTCCAAAATCTCAGTCATCCCCCAGGTTCTGGGATGACCAATGCGTCTTTCTGTGCCTGGTTTGGGCTAATTGTTTTTGTCTGTTTCTCTGTTTGCTGTTGGAGCTGACTGTTTTAGAGGTTTAAATACTGATTGGTTGACCCTATTGACTTGTGTCAGTGGGACTGGAGTTCCCACAATCCCCTTCAAGAACACATTATAAGTGACTTAAAGATCACATCTAGGCCCCACCTCTGAAAGGTTTCATCACCTCCCTACAGAGTGGAGGTGAAGGCAGATCTTTTTGTTTTGTTTTGTTTTTGTTTTTCGAGGCAGGGTTTCTCTGTGTAGTTTTGGTGCCTGTCCTGGATCTCGCTCTGTAGACCAGGCTGGCCTCGAACTCACAGAGATCCACCTGGCTCTGTCTCCTGAGTGCTGGGATTAAAGGCGTGTGCGCCACCATTGCTCAGTGAAGACAGATCTTCTAACACAAGGGTCTTTGGGGGACACCTCAGAGCTAACCCACAGCAAGCCAATTCCCTAGAAAACATGACTTCTGCTCCATCCCTCTCCCAACCTATGAGATGCATCTCTTGGATAGAGGAATTAGTGTAAATGCACCCATCAGTCCTGTCCTCCATCTACCATCCACCCACCCATCCATTTCATGACTACCCATCCACTCACACAGTCACCCACCCACCCACCCATCCGTCCACCCACCCACCCATCCATCTACCCACCCACCCATCCATCCACCCACCCATCCACTTACCCCACGCATCCATCCATCTACACACTCATTCACCCACCTATGCATCCATCCATCCATCCATCCATCCTTCTGTCCACCCACACACCCCCAACCCAGCCATTCTCTTTGTCTCCAGGACCAGCGATGGGGATCTTCGGCATCTGATTGAGATGTCTGTGATCTTATGGGCTGTCGCGCTGACAAGCTGGATCAGTGACCGTGTACTTTGCAGTTTCTGGCAGCGGATTCACTTCTTCTACCTGCATAGCATTTGGTAAAACATCCTTTTTGGATCCCAAGACCCCCAAGTGAGAGATCAGATGCCAGAGCTTGGAGTGGAGGTCTGGGGTGTAGGAGGGGAAGAACAAGACCCAGATACTGGGATTTGGAGGGGGTGGGGCGAGGTTACACCCAGCAGTCTGGAAATATAGACACTACTCAGTAGATATGAGAATCCAGGAAGACTGGGCCGGGCATCTCTTCATTTCTCACCACCCGTCCCTTACCCACAGGCATGTCCTCATAAGCCTCACCTTCCCTTATGGTATCGTGACTATGGCCCTGGTGGATGCCAAGTATGAGATGCCAGGTGAAACCCTCAAAGTCCACTACTGGCCCCGGGATAGTTGGTTCATCGGGCTGCCCTATGTGGAGATCCAGGACAATGACAAGAGCTGCTGAGCCCGCGGAGTCTCTGACTATCAGTCTCCTGTGCTCTGAGGACAGAGGACCAGGACTTCAGCTGGGACACTTGTGGTCACGTCTCCCTTCCCTCATCCACACTCCCTGCCCGGCTCTGTTGCCACAAGATAAACCTTCTTGTGGCTCTGAGTACTAGTTTGGTGACTGAGGGGCGGGGGCTGCCTGGTGTGCTGGATAACTGGCCCGTGTCCTCCTTCTGCCTGAGGAACCACAGCTTCTCCACGGCCATTGGTGTGGTGGTGCATAGATGGGTGAATGGGTAGGTGTGTGTCTGATACAGTACCTGCTGGAAGCATGATGCTTGCTCTCTAGCATCTTGCACATCTGGGACTATTTATGAGTGTTACAGATTCAACTTGGGTCATGACAATGTTCTCGGAAAGTAGGGAGGATCCTAGAGAGCAATATATATATATATATTGTCCTCTTTGAACCACCATGTACCCTCAGAGCACGGTGGCGGCAAACACAGGAGCCATGAGGGAGGAAAACAGAGGGCCAACCTGGGTGACATTATGGAACAGGGTTGTGAGAGGGGAGCATGGTGACCAGTCTAGGCACTGAGAGGGACGGCTACTGAGCAAAGGTGGTTTCCACAGTGGCTAAGAGTACAGAGATAGAAATGCCTAAGTCTGACTTTCTGTTCCATAGTATTAACTTTGTGTGACGTTTCCTGGTGTTGATGTTCAAACACTGTTTGTAAATAAAATTTTCTTACCTCCTGGGGTTTCTGTTGATTATAATTAGCTCCTGTGTGTGAGGTGTTTGGCATAATTTTGAAAATATCTATCTACACAGCTATCATCCATTCACCCATCCATCCTTTCAATAACCCATTCACTCACCCACCAACTATCCACCCAACCCATTCAATCACTTCTATATCCATTCACTCATCCACCCACCCATTCATCCACCCATCCACCATCCACCCATCCACCCACCCATCCATCCATCCATCCATCCACCTATCCATCCATCCACCCACACATATCCATTCATCCATCCATCCACCCACACACATCCATCCATCCATCCACCCACACACATTCATTCATCCATCCATCCATCCATCCACCCATCCATCCATCCATCCATCCATCCACCCACACACATTCATTCATCCATCCATCCACCCATCCATCCATCCATCCACCCATCCATCCATCCATCCACCCACCCATCCACCCACACACATCCATCCATCCATCCATCCCTCCTCCTTCCATCTGTTTTCCCCTCCCTTAATCCACCTACATAAATTAAAGTTGCAAGTGTGGGCTGGCGAGGTGGCTCAGATGGCTTGCGATCCAGTCTGACGACCTGAGTTTGATCTCTGGAATTTGCATGGAGAGAATAGAAGGTGACAACCAACTCCTACAAGTTGTGTTTTGACCTTCACACACTTGCTGTGGTACACCATGTTACTACCACAGACAATTTTTTTTGTTTTGTTTTGTTTTTCGAGACAGGGTTTCTCTGTGTAATGTTGCGCCTTTCCTGGAACTCACTCTGTAGTCCAGGCTGGCCTCGAACTCACAGAGATCCGCCTGGCTCTGCCTCCCGAGTGCTGGGATTAAAGGCGTGCACCACCACCGCCCGGCCACAGACAAAATTTTTAAAAAAGTAAAAGAAGCCGGGCGGTGGTGGCGCACGCCTTTAATCCCAGCACTTGGGAGGCAGAGCCAGGTGAATCTCTGTGAGTTCGAGGCCAGCCTGGTCTACAAAGCGAGTTCCAGGAAAGGCGCAAAGCTACACAGAGAAACCCTGTCTCGAAAAACCAAAAATCAATCAATCAATCAATCAATCAATCAATCAATCAATAAAAGATGTAAATAAATAAGGGCCTGAAGGCATCGGCTCAGCAATTAAGAGCACTGGCTGCTCTTGCAGAGGACCTATGTTTGAATCCCAGAACCCGTCTGTAACTCCATTCCCAGGAGACCCGACGCCCTCTCCTGGCCTCTAGGGGTACTGCACAGACATGGTGCGCAGACACACGTTCAGGCGAATGTTGGCATACATAAAATAAAATTTAAAAAATCACAAATGTGCCTGTCTAAAACACCTGATGGTCTAATGAAGAACTGGCCAATAGCAAGGCAGGAGAAAGGATAGGCGGGGCTGGATATGAAAACTGTGAGGCGAGATCGAGCAGCCAGAGAAGGAGGAGGACTGCAGGGGCCATAGCCCCCAGCTACACTCACAGTAAGACGCGGAGTAAGAGTAAGATACAGACGTAAGAGAACGAGAAAAGCCCAGGTAGACAGGATAAGTTAAGGAAAGCGGGCTAGAAACTAAGCCAAGATAAGGTCAGGCATTCATAAGTAAGAAAAAGCCTCTGTGTGTGAATTATTTGGGAGCTGGGTGGTGGGCCCCCCAAAAGAGTTTAATTCTATTAACAACAAGGTGCCTCTGTTTTGAGTTTGCAGACAGGGATTTTCTGTTTAGCTCAGGCTGTACTAGACCTCCCTGGCCTCTGCCTTCTGGTTACTGAGGGACAAACATGCTTAACTATGTCTGGCTACTCAGAGTGGGTGGGGTTTCTGCACCTGTGGGTCATTTGACATCTGCCACAAATGAGTGTTTGGGCATGATACCTAACCCCCTGCCGTTCGGCACTTCAGACACATGAGGATACTTTTCTACTATAGATGTGGCTCACAGAAGGCAAACGCCTTGCCCAAGAACACACAGCCTGGACTTCATGTTGGATCTCTCCTTCCCAAAAGCTCTTGGGACTTCTTGAGTGGGATGGAACCAGGACCCCTGTTTCTAGGTCCCCTCTGTTTTTGAACCCAGATATTCTTCAGGTGTGCCCCCAGGATGAATTCCAGTCTTGAGAGATGGAGATAGTTCTGTGAACCTCCTGTGATCTCTCTCTCTCTCTCTCTCTCTCTCTCTCTCTCTCTCTCTCTCTCTTGTTTTCAAGATAGAGTTTCTCTGTGTAGCCCAGGCTGTCTTGGAACTCACTCTGTAGACCAGGCTGGCCTGGAACTCCCAGAGATCTGCCTGCCTCTGCCTCCCCAGTGCTGGGGTTAAAGGCGTGTGCCACCATCGCCTGGTGTGAACCTGTTATATTATCAGCAAAATTGTTGCCCTTGAGGGAAAGATGGAGTGTTTGATGCCAGAAAGTTAAGAATCTCACTCAAAGAGCCTCTGAGGCAGGGGGATGAGAGGAATGCCTCTGCTGACAGTTCTGCGGGTTTTCTTTCTTCTCCGTGTCTCTGCTGTGAAATCAACTGTCGTCCCAGGTCTCAGGAGGCATCATGAGGACATTTCTTTTTTTGAGAGTCAGGATCATATAGCCCAGACTGGCCTAGAACTCACCATATAGCCCAGGCTGGCCTCAAATTTACAGCAATCCTCCTGCCTTAACCTTTGGAATGCTGGATAAATAGGCGTTACTCACTACACTCAGCTTTTTAAAAATTAAATATCTTTGTCTTTTTTGTTTGTTTGTTTTTGTTTTTCGAGACAGGGTTTCTCTGTGTAGCTTTGCACCTTTCCTGGATCTCGCTCTGTAGACCAGGCTGGCCTCGAACTCACAAAGATCCACCTGGCTCTGCCTCCCGAGTGCTGGGATTAAAGGCGTGCGCCACCACCGCCCGGCCCGGCTGTCTTTTTTTCATAGCCATCTATCACTCCCATTGCAGGGTAATGTTCCCAGCCTGCTTGGCATCGGGATTAATCTAGCCCAGGTCTCTAACAGTGGGTCATTGGGCTCTACTCCAGCCCGCTCACATTTCTCTGAGCATCAAGGGGCCCTGTGGGCATTTGTGACAGTCTGAAAAACCGAGAGGCACAAGAACACACTTGAGGCCAGAAAGCGGGGTCTCAAAAACTCTCCAGAAGCCTGGGCCATCTACAAGGTCAAATAAAAAATTAAGTGTGGAGTCAGGCTCTGGGGTGCAAAACAAGACAACCAGCAGAGGGCGGTAGCCACAGGCACAAAGCAGGAGTTGGCATGTCTGCTGAAGGTTGGTGCCCAGGGGCAGACGGGGCTGGTAGCTACAGGCACAAAGTAGGAGTTGGCATGTCTGCAGAAGGTTGGTGTCCAAGGGCAGACGGGGCTAGAGTCCCTGATCCAGTGTCATCATTTGGAGCTGGTGGATCACGTGACAAGAAGATGACAGAGCTACCTGACAGGACTAGCTATGCGTGCACCAAATCCGCGACTGCCATTTGTTCTCTCTTCCCCTTCCCTTTCCTCCTCCCTCCCTCCCTCTTGTTTTTCTTTCCTTCCTTCTTTCTGCTCGAGACAGGGCTTCGTGTAGCCCAGGCTGGCTCTAAACTCTCTACGCAGCTGAGGATGACCTTCAACTCCTGATCTTGAAGATCCTCCTGCCTCTGCCTCTTGAGTGCGGGGATCAAAGGCACGCGCCACCACCCGGGCCAAATCTTAGTTTTCATATGGGAGGTCTGTTTCCTTGGGCCTGGCATGGTTATGGACTTCTTTGATTGCAGTACTTGGAGGAAGAAGCGGTAGACCTCTATGAGCTCCAGGCCAGCCCGGGCTACACAGTGAAACCCTGTCTCATAAAAAGAGTTATTTGCTGGGCAGTGGTGGCTCACACCTTTAATCCCAGCACTCGGGAGGCAGAAGTAGGCAGACATCTGGGATTTTGAGGCTAGCCTGGTCTACAGAGCCAGTGCCAGGACAACTAGGGCTACCCGTTAGCATTCAGGCATCTGTACTGGCCTGAATTTAGGGTTCTGACAGGATACATCTGCAGCCGCTGCCACTAAGAGCACCCCATGTGCATTTGCTATGTCCCCTTATGAGAGGAGGGCCTTGCCTGGCTCTCATCTTTCTCTTTCTTCGTTCTTGTCCCCAGAGACCAGTCTCTGCCCCTTCTCTCCCCTCCCCTCAATAAACCTCCCATGTGGTCCTGTTGTATAGTGACTCCTTCCCGCCATCCCCCATCCCTTGGTTTTTCGAGACAGGGTTTCTCTGCGTAGTTTTGGTGCCTGTCCTGGATCTCGCTCTGTAGACCAGGCTGGTCTCGAACTCATAGAGATCTGCCTGGCTCTGCCTCCCGAAAGCTGGGATGAAAGGTGTGCGCCACCACCTCCTGGCTCTTCACGCCGTTTTTAAAATACGTTTGTCTCGGAAAAAAAAAACAAAAACAAAAAAAGAGTGATTTATTTATCTTTTTTTGTTTATTTTGGTTTGGTTCCTCAAGATAGGGTTTCTCTGCGTCCTGAAACTCGCTCTATAGACTAGGCTGGCCTTGAATTCAGAGATCTGCCTGCCTTTCCTCCCGAGTGCTGGGATCAGCATGTGCCACCATGCCTGATTTATTTATCTGGGGTGTGTGTGTGTGTGTGTGTATATGTGTGTGTGTGTGTGTGTGTATACCCCACGTACACACAAGTGTATGTGGAAGCCAGAGAGGACATCAGATCCTGTGGTGGTTTGACTAAGAACGGTTCCAATAGGCTCATTGCTTTGAAAACTTGATCCCCACTTGGTGGGACTGTTTGGTAAGGATTAGGAGGTGTGGTCTTGTTGGAAGAAGTTTGTCACTCGGGGGTTGAGCTTTGAGGGTTCATAAGAT